CCCTCCTTCCTTCTGTTACTCCCCTACTTCTTTCTGTTACTCCCCTCCTTCTGTTACTCCCCCCTTCCTTTTGTTACCCCCCTTTTTCTGTTACACCCTTCTGTTACCCTCCTCCTTCTGTTACCCCCTTCTGTTACCCTCCTCCTTCTGTTACTCCCCTCCCCTGTAGCATGGCCAAGCTTCTCTCCGGTCTGCGGTGCCCGGCTGGAGTGATAGGAAGGTGTACACTCAGTGCGCACTTCCTGTCAGTCCGGCCGGGTACAGGAAACAGAAACTCCTGTGCTGCGCGGAGTGTGCACCTTCCTAACAGTCCGGCCAGGCGCCGCGGACCGGAGAGGAGCTCGGCCACGCTACAGGGGAGGGGAGGAGTTTTAAAAGGATTTAGGGCGGCCTGGGGGGCAATTGCCTCCCTGCCCTGCCCGCCCCTGCCCTGATGGCAACCATGTCCATCAGTCTCAAGGTGATCTATTTTAGTCAGTGATCCATCAGTCTCAGGGTGGTATATTCTAGTTGGTGTTCCACCAGTCTCAGGGCGGTATAATTCACAATCTATATTATAATAGTAATTGTTATTGGGAAGCCTTTATTTATACAACTTTTTTAACCATGCTTATATATTGGTTATGGTACCAGGAGTACCCTGCTGCTTTACCAATTAAGTTTGTACCTGGGGTCCACCATATGCAGCTTCCTGCCTCCTCTCAGCCATACCTTCTTGGCAGGGCTAGGCTTAGCTCTTTGGCTGAGAACTTAATGCTCTCCTGAATTCTGAGAGGAGGAGGGGAGTGTGCGCTCAGTGAACATTAGGAAAAAAGTCAAACTGTGAAATACATTAATGCATTTTAACACCTTGACTGCAACCCTGAAATTAACAAGAGCGACTAAAAACACATGTATAGTCATAGTCATAGTCCATGCCTAGGTGTGGGAGAGTTCTTGGAGATTACCCTATGAGATCCTATAGTCCCGCCATAGCTTCCCAGTTGATGGGCATGTTTGAGTGCCGTGCCTTGTAAGCCTTGGTTTGCAGTCAAGGGCTGTAGCACCATGCGGTCAATGGTTGTGGCTGCTTTCCGTTTATTCTTTCAGCATTGATCGTGGATGGAGCTTGCTCGGTCTGATGTGGCCCAGAGTGCGCTTCGGGTAATGCCGCTTTGACACGGGTACGTGGAAGAAGTGCTGGCTGTGGTGGTTTTCTTCTGTCAGCATGCATGTGCCAGTGTCGCTGTGTGGGGGCTCAAGAGCCCGTAAGGACCTCCTGTGATAACAGCTCAGGTTGTGTGTGTGTCTCAGAGGGATTACCGTCCCAGTAAGCGAAGTTGCTGTGCAGCAGTCGGCCATTTTGATGAGACCGCGTGGTAGCCTTTCTCCTACTGTTTCGGGCCGCCCAGGTGAGATGCAAAAGCAGTAGCCCGCCCGGTGGGGCCGGGATGACCCCCCTGGCCCACAGGGGGGAAGGTAACGGGACCAGGAGTGCGCCAGGCAAATGATAGTTGCTGTCGGGGCGGAGAGCGAGGCAGCGGCCGTCCGCCTCATTCCCTTCCCGGGTAGGCCTCAATCTCCGAGCCCAAGAGTCTCTCACCAGGACCTAGGGCCACCCTGCTTCGGGCGCCCCAGCTACACCCGGACACTCCAGAGCTTCTTGCCGTGGACCCCCGGGTCAGTATAAGCCGGGTAAGGTGGGTATATACCCTGAGTTTCTTCAAATCCTCGGGGAGCTCTTGTGATATGCAGCCAGCTGGCATGGCCGCCCGGCCCCGCCCCCATGATTGGTATTTTTAACCAGAAATGTGGCCTTGTTCACCTCATCCTCAATCACACATCTCCCACACTTATTATATGATAATATTTTGTGATATTTTATGTATGCGTTACAACAATATTTAGATGATATACTGAAGTGTAAATTTAGATTATTGTTTTGTTGTGTTTCTCACTAGTGTCTAGATCCTTTAATATGATTAATAGGCTAAGACCATATTAAAAAAACAGTCATAAATGTGTCCTGATTGTGAACCCTTTCAAATTTACAGTAAATACCCCCAAATTCATAGTGTATCCTGTAATACATATGCAAAGGTTTGATGAGAGAAGCCCAACTTTATAAATATCAAAATGTATTAACATCCAACAGAGAAAAAGTGATCTGTTGAATTCTGTTAAATTTACTTTTCCTGACACTTGGCAGCATTTACCCATGGGTTAGCTCTTAACCTCACAGCAGAAAGGACAGGACATAGAACTCTGAAATTGATATAAATAGATCCACCCCTTCCCAACAGGCAGTCTTTTTTGCCGTCCTTCACAGCAGTTTGGAAAGAGTCTCTTAAGCAGGTCTAAATTTATTTATTTCATGCTCACCAGGCCAATACTTTTGTGGCCCGGTCACGATTCAGCCTCTGAGGCCTGAAGACCCAGCAAAAGCACTTCTGTAAGAGTTGCCAGCTTGGGTACCCCCTTTAGTGACCAGGGGTTGGGTCCACAAGGCCCCCCTACCTGTCTGGGATTTAGGGACTACCCAGTTGTGTCTAAAGTTTTTTGAAAAAAAAAGAAAAAAAACACCTTAGACACAACTGGGTAATCACTGAATCGTAGACTGTTAGGGTTGCCTTGAGTACTGGTTTGGGAACCACTATACTATAGCATATAAACCACAGTGCACAAGTAGTAACACACATAGGCAATCTCTAATAAATAATATGCATTTATTTGATTTTTCAATAAAATCGCTTTATATAACAGTTGCAATAAAATGAACAATTTAAAAAGCTAGATGTAAGAGGTTGTGTTGATTCTGTCTTTGGACACACGGACAACTTCTGCATCATTTACAAAATCTTTTTTTTTTTTACTTTTTTTAAATTTATTTTTTAAGAACAAGTGAATTTGCATTTTGAATGTGCTTAGTACTCTGAACCGGGAATGACAACAAAGAACGCTTGTGGGGTCAACTGACTTTAAGACGGGACACGTCTCCACATTTGTTGGAGAGGTCAGCAGCCATCTGTGTTTTGATCATGATGACCTACGATGTTGTTACAATAAAACAGAGGTAGGCAACCCCTCTGCTGGCAAAGCATCATGGGAGATGTTGTCCAACTTAAACTCCAAACCATTTGGATAGATGGCATTGCATCATGGAATATATAGTGTAAGGACCGATTTATAGCTGCATGTTGGGTTCTCCTGTTGAAGGAACTCTTAACAGTCAGCATGAAAGATTAGGCTCCATAGTGGGACTACTCTCCATCTATGCAGATTCTATCTATTTTGATATAGGTGACCAGACATCTCTTTTAAGAGGAGCTTTTATAATCATCATAATAGAAATTCTGCACACCATATGCCTATATAGCTATATACTATACTGAAGTCCAGTAGTGTGCATTTTTTATTATTATAAACAGGAATAATTACCAGATTGTAGGGAAAACATTTCTCTGCCAGGAACCTATTCCACCCATTTAATGTCTGCAAATGTACTGAAAATGACAGCCTCCCCAATCCTTCCAAACAATAAAGAAAGTTTCAAAGATCATAATATATCTACAGTCGGATGGAGGGGTTTGGGCAAATACATGCATTATCTCATATACCTCAACATCACATTAGCATTGCAGAGATGTCCATAAATCATCTTAAATACCTTTATTTTAGAAATATATAAGTTAACTCAACTCATGTATTATGCTCAAAAGCAGACATTGTTTTTACATTCTGTTGTCATTTTTAGTAAGCTGCACTGGTAGTAATGCCTTTGGGGTCTTTATAAATACATATACGCAAGGTATTTGGCCATTGGTGTTTATTTATTTCTGTTACACCTACTCTATGTGTGACAAATGTTATTTTTGCTATTATATCAACATGTGTGAAGAATTGTAAGACAAGAGATACTATATACTGTCAAAGCTTTTCATTCGCCCAATATTTATATAAAAGATTTGCATAAAGTTACTTTTTTTAGTTTGAACAGTACTTTATACACAAAATGTATATTTTACCATGCGTTTATATGCTAGTTATGTATCCCATGTTTTCAAATAAATGTTAAACGGTTTGGTAAGTCATTTTTCTTTTTAGTAAGCTACTATTAGTGTAAAAAGAGGTTGATACAAGCAACATGTTCTATAGATCAAACCCAATTTTGGTATGGAGCCATTGTTTTCTGTTATAATATCGCGCATTCACAGATTCAACTATTAAGTATTAACCTCTTTGCAACCAGGACAATGTGATAAAGTCAGATCAATGTAAATATACAGTTCAATGACCTCACAAGAGAACAAAAGTGACAATAGCAATGCAAGGAGAACAGCTGTAACTACAATTATACAAAACGATAATAATGGCAGGAGGGAGGTAGCATTAGAAATAATTACATATGAGCATAAAGACAATAAAAAGCACAATTTACCTACATAAATTCTAAGTGCACTTTTATTATGCTCTTTGCAATCTCAGGCTCTTGCAGAAAACAAATAAACAATAAAATATAATATACTGCTGTTTAAGAAACATTTTATTGCACTCCATACAGCAAACAACCTGCGGTGATACCTAGTGGGTGGTGTCACCTGGTCAAAATGTTTGTAAACCCAATATACACAGCAGGCCTGTGATGGTAATTACACAATAGGCCAGCAAGGTACCATCCTTGATATACAACACATCCATTTGTAATTGGGTACCACACAGTGACCTTCAGCTCACAGAGCCCAAACCAAAGGCTACGGAGATAAAAAAAAAAAATGTATTTTACTAAAATTATGTAATACCATAATGCTGTTGTCAGTGACTATAAACACTGTATGAGAAGCATCCTTATTTTTTCTAGCTGTGTAGGGCTGGCTTTGTACCCAGTGACTACCTTCCGAAACCCTCGCCAATATTAAATAATATGACGTTTAGAAAAGCATCAGTTGGTGAGTCACCCTGACGTCTCTCCAGCAAAACCGGACATTCTGTTATTAAAAAGATGTTTTCTAAGACTGTAGAATAGAATAATCCCACCAAATTGCCTCCATAAGTACAGCCAATTGTACATTTTCCAGTAAGGCTCTAATCATTGTAAGGTGATGGACCCCTACTAACATCTTTAGAAGAGGCTAGTGAATAAAAACGAATATGCATGATCTGTTTTTCTGATGCCTGCTCTAAACAGCATGTGATCCTATATTTTTCATCCTATAAAGTGTGAAGATAGGAATTGGGTTCATTTACTATTATTCAGAATAACCAAAGTTAAAACCTTTGTTTGCTACTGGGCTTCAAATCCCATTGCCCTCCACTAGTTGGGCGATAGTTTCCCAACTCGATTCAGAAACACAAATCCATCTAAAATTATTCTATAAACATCTTTAGTTAATGCAGGATATACTTACTCTGTATATAAATCATTTATTACGCTTTTTAAATGTATTTAGAAATAGTGATCTAGCTCCTTTTCCTCTACATAAATATATTTAAATACTGTATATAACTCTTAGTTTCTTTATGCATAAATTTCTAGAGCTGTGTGCATTTGGCCCTGTATATATCTATTTATAAAACAGGAATATATGTCTTATCTAGAAGGATCTAGCCTGAGAGAGCAGTCACTGTGCGATGGTGCAAAACATTTAGCAACACATTTAATTTGGCACAGTTTCCAGAAGGAATGACTACAATGTTGTAATCCATTTAGCAGCAATCAGTTTGGAGTGCTCGGGCTTGATATAGGAGATTGTAATCTGGATTAGAACATAAAATCCTAGGCAAAATTGATGGTACACTATTTGACATCTCAATATTTTCCTTTCTTCTGAAATGCATGGTGGGTCACTGGCCATAAATGAAAACTACGATTAGATGCTGGTTGGATTATTCTGGCAATATTCATGCATATCTTTATATAATTTAGGTTTGTATATCTGTGCATCAACACAGAAATGTTGTTGACTCCCATATCGCCTAGAAAAATATCTCCTGCAAAGTAATCTCATAAGATTGCATTATACTTTATCTGAAGATACATTCGGGATAACATTATTCTCAAAAAAGATATCGGGATCACATTATTCTCAAAAAAGATATCTCCAAATACTGAATGATTCTGAAAATTGGCTCCTAGAACCTTTGATAGCAATATTCACAGAAAATATCACTTAGGAGTACATGATTCACTCCTGTGTTATTTCCAATCAGGCCTTAAGTACTGCCTAGGATTGCACTGTTTTGACCAGAAGATAACTTCTAGGATTGGACCATTCTGACCGGAGGACGACTCCTAGGTTTGCATTGTTCTGACAAGACAATATCTGCTATAAATGCACTGTTCTGGAGAGAAAATATCTGCTAAGTTTGCAATGTTCTGGCCAAGACATCTCTCCTAGGATTGCACTGTTTGGGCCACAAGACATCTTCTAGGATTGCACTGTTTGGGTTACAAGACATCTACGAATGCGCTTACTCCCAGATGAACTGGGACTGCACTATTCTCAAAATAAATTCTCTAGGGTTGCAACATACTCAGAGGAAAACCCATGTAGTTGTATTATCAAAAGAGATGTTATGGAAACGCACAATTAGCAAAAAGAGATTCACTGTGGCTTTAACATTTACATATAGAACCTCTGTATGTAGTGCATTGTGGGATAATGTATAGATTTTAGATGTTAACGCTTGTTTCTTTGGTATTCATTTGTCCTCTAATACAATTTTCTTAAAGTTACTGCCATGCCTGCCTTTTATATTCTGCTTTCACACATTGATCTCCCGACATATATAGGTATAGCATGTGTAGGAGTCCAATAACATGAAGGGGCTCTCTTTGTACCATTATCCTGAGAGGACAAAGGGTTTTACAAATCTCATTGCATTCTTCAGAGCATGAGCCCTGCATGAACCACATCATGAAAATATAACTCCAGTCTCTCCTACAACCACAGAATGAGGTCCAAACTCTGGATATTGGCATTAGATGGCCCATATCTAATGCACTCCGTCTGTCAAACGCTGTCCATCTGTGTTCTGTGATTGCGTTACCAGTGCTGCTGGTTTCAGCTCGTATTTTCTGAGCTACAAAGGGTAAAATTGGGAGGCAGCCTCAGAAGACTGGATCTCTACTTGAGCCATTTTGAACTGGGTGCACTGGAGCCATTTACGGAGAACTGCAGAATTGTGGGTCATCTGCGCCGAGCCCTGTAGCATTCGCAGATTCTGTTGGTTGGCGTTATTTTGAATTGCTTGGAGACGGAGCTGTAGGCCCGCTGATAAATGCTGTAGAAATGTTAAAAAATACTATATGTTAGGAAAAGAATTAAAGTAATATATGTAATAAGGACAATGACAAATGGCACTGATGGCCAACATTGGCACTCCAAATGCAAGAAAAGTACATTACAAGTCACATGGTTCAGTGGCACA